CTGAGTACTAGGTGTGCTGTGTATGGTTGCAATAATAACCTTCTTTTTTCAAATTGGAAGCAACCTGTTTACATCGGGTTTGATCAAAAAATGACAAGAGAAATACTTTTAAAATTAATAGCAGAACTTTATTTACTATCGTATAATGTAGTAGCTTGCGTCAGTGACTGTAGTTGCAGTAACATAAGTTTATGGAAAGAATTGAATGTGAATATCAATGAAACGTTTATTATGAATCAATTATTATTATCAATGAAACGTATATTAGAGATATAAATATGTGGTTCGAGAAGGCAACTTTATTATTTGTCTTATTTATTCTATTTTAATCTTAACTATTTCTTAATTAATTAAAATATATTTTGGTTAACCGAGTTTTTCGCATCTTATATATAAACTTATTTTTAATTATGATATAATTAAAATTAAGTTTATATATAAGACGTTATAATTGACGTTTCTCCATAGTTAAAAATATAAACTTATTTTTAATTATGGAGAAACGTCAATCACAAATTTTTATCATCAAAATTGATAAGCTTAAAATTGTACGTTAATAATTTCTGTAAATTAAATGTATTTAGCATATATATATTATAGTTAATTAAAACTTATATCATCAAAAATCATAACTTATAATTAAATACAGAAACTATCAGATTTTAGATTATAGTTATCATAGATTAAATAAGATAATGTTATATTAAATGTAATGGCATTCGTTATCAAAATATGTTTTAAAAAATTTAACAATAAAGACTTGTAGTCGGCCATTTTAAAAATATTCTAGTAGTTCAAACTTTTATATTCGGTAGTAAAAATTACTTCGTTAATATTTTTTTGAAATACCTATTTTTGCGTAAATATTGTTCTTCTAATATTGTTGGCTGTTGGCTGTGCACCTGTTGGCTACATGAGCGAGACAGTTAAGACGTAAAGCTAGCTTATCTCTATGGAAGACTCGGGTTCGAATCAAAGCGTGTCAACTCCACGAATTTTTCGTGAGAGGCATGTCACGGATATGCGCGTTCGCCAGTGGCCAAATGAATAAAACTACTGAACACCGTAGTAGTTGGTTGTGGGTTCGATTCTCGTTAACGGGCTGGCCATGTGGAGTTTTCTGACTTTTCATTCTCGTTTGTAACACCTCAATATAGACCAGCTTCTCGTATAGTCCTTCTTGACTAATCGCCCATCCATGTGTCGCGTTGCCTTATCACAATCCTTACTCAATTAAAATAATGCAATATTTACAATTTAGTTTATTGTTTGTATATGGCAACGTCACTCACGGTTACCAGATGTCATGGTTTTCCTTGGTTTTTCCGACTGCCATCTAGCAATAGGCGAACTTTATTCTAAAAACTGTTCTTGCAATGAAGTATCGTTTTCTTTTTTCCATATTTTAAATGTGTTTCTGTTACTGGCAGGGTAAAAATACTGTACACATTTTGCAGAAGGCGTCCTGGAATTGAAGCATCCGGTATCTTTCGAGAAGAACTCATTTTATCTCCAGGAACCTGGTAACTCCACTCGGGCGATCTGCTGAGGGTGGATACTACCCAGAAAGACTTTTTGGGGAAACTGACCTCTACTTAGGTGATACAAACGTGAAGAAAATATGGAAACTCTACGTGACCAGCCCGTTAGTCGGCCATTGATGGAATCGCAAATTCGTTCATAAAAATAATATTTAATAAATGAATATAATATGCAACAAAATGTCGGATTATATATTCGTGAAGCAAATAACACGCTATTTAAAGAATATGAGATCCTATTAATAAACGAATTATTTGTAATAATTATTAAATAATATAAGCACGCTAATTTTCTGATTCAGACTTATTAGCCTACTGAAAAGAGTAGACTATAATTACAGTTTTGCTGTTCAGAAATAAACAGAAAATTTCTTTAAATAGTTTATATTAATATGCATTTAGTATAGTGCTTTTTTTAAAATAAATAGTAGATTTGTTTATTGTTTGCTTTGACATTTGTTGTTGGCATGACTGAAATTCATATATTTCAATAGCATAATTATATTCAGCAACCGTCTTGTTTAATTTGAAGGAAAACTTCTTTTTGTCGTGATTACACATTAGTAAGCTTTCAAATTTCTCAAGTTTCTAAATTTACTACAAGGAAATCGTAAACATTTTGTATTTGACAAATTCAGAATTACTTTATAGGAGTCATTCATTAATTACGACTCTTATTAAGCGATTATGCCTACAGTTTTTAAGCTACTTTTGACCCCTTCCTTCCTGTTATGTACAAAGATGTACTTTTGGCAAACTCCCTGCTTTTTAATTATGTGTACAACAGTTCACGTACCTACAACATTGAAGAAACAACTGTAAATGTTTTCTAAATGATAGTTTATTCATACGTCTAGTAAGTAGACTTATAAGAACAAATTCATATGTCATTAATACAGCTAAAAAAACGTTTACGTAGCAATGTCTCGACCCTCCCTCTTCCCATCGTACGTTACGTGATTCCCTCTTCACCTCAAACTGTACACATAAAGGACGACCCTATAAGATTAGTAAACCCACAATATCAAGGGCTAATGAATATTGTATTGTAACTATATTGTAGTATCACGAGCATTCTAAAAACAAGGATACATTTTATCCTTTTAGTATATTTAAAAATAAACAGAAAAAAAACATTATTGAAAACAAATTCAATAGGAGAATATTATCCATGTGTTGTAAGCCCGTATACTCTTATATTGATATATAAAAGTTTCTATCCTAGGGTACTGTATGACGAATTTAATTTGACAAAACTATCGTTTGTAATTTACATAAGGATGTAAAAACAGGTGTCAGAAGCTAAATAAGAAAGTATATATATGAAAGAATCGACTCATAATTTACAGCGATGACATCAACATCGACCCTGAAAGTGTTACACGTTATGGCCACCAGACGGCAAATAGTGCTAGTGTTGAGCGCGGCGTCTCGAAATACAGTTGTCGCCAGTTGTTGGTATAGAATATCAGTGAGACGGAGTTAATTTTAAAGAAAAATTAACAAGTAAATTTCGATAAAATTTTATTATGTATTGAAACGGATTACATAAACTGTGTTCACTAATAACAGTGTTAAATCTTCAGAAGAGAGGCTTCCAATTGGTAAGTTATCCCTAATTCTAGGCTTAACTGCCGCTACTTGTTGACTGTTCCGTTCAATTTAATCTTCATTTCGCTTCATTTTTTATGCTTTTTTTATTTTACCGACTTTTACAAAAAAGTAAAATGAAATTATTCGAATTTTTACACTAATGTGCTAACATCGAATGCTAGGAATTTATTTGTCTACTTGCTACTATTTTGTTTACATGGGAATACTCCTATCGAACCTAATATGACATAAATCATCTGATCGTACTTTAATAGAAAATTAGTAAAATGAACTCATTTTATTGATAGATACAGATTTATTTATACTTCAGTTCATTTCTTATAGAATATGTTGTCTTAGTAATTATAAATTTAATAGTTGACAATTGAATTTTTACTTATTTTAAAAATTCACTTTAAAATATTAAAGGGATTTAATTATTTTAAAGATAAATATACAACTTTATTGGATATAATTATAATTTATTATTTTTTTAGCTGTCAGTTGTAAAATAACAGGTCCCTGTCCTATGATTTACAAAGTGTATTTTAAACTATTTGTATATTGAAATCAAGTGTAACTCTGAAAAATTAATTAATTTTACAGTAAAATAAGCTTTTATGAAAATGAAAAATAATTGTTACATATTTTCAAGTAAACTTCAAAGTTAAGATGCTACTAAGCATAGTATTTAATTAAAGAACTGAAGACAGACTTGGTGAAATAAAATATATCTACTAAATTAGAGTGAAATTAATTAATTTTGTCAAAAGAAGAATGTATTTTTAACTATAGAATAAAATTGTTTTCTGAGTTAATTGAATTCAGTCATTTGTAACATTAAGAATGCAGAGTTTAGATAAATATTACATACTAACAATGATGTTATCTTACGGATCTCTCTAATATTTTCCTGAAGATTATATAGTATAAATTAAATTGTATTATTTTAGATATAAAATTTTCTATGCATTAATTAAAAGATATGCTAAGTTTGTTTTAAACTTTTTAATTTAATACTTGAAATTTTATCAGTGAAAAGTCAGAAGTTATGTTGATGGATTTAATTTTAAATTTAGTGCTAATTTTATCTTCTATAAAAATAGAAATAGCAATCTTCATTAGTACTAACATATATTTTTAGTAATAAATATATGTAGGGAAATTATTTTCAATAAAATTATTAGTGGTATTAATAGCAACTAAAAAAATTATATAATAATGATAGAAAATTTATTTAATATCCAATTCAATCAAATGTAGTTATTATTAAAGTTTAATAATAATTTTAGTTTTTTAGTTTGTAGGTGTTTAATTAATTAAATTTAAAAAATGCAAAGTTTTATATGCTGTATGAGGCAATATTTATGCTACAGAAACCATTTTAATTACAGTATTTAGTAGAATATCATATTACATTTATTTATTTATATCAATATTTATTGTATAAAAAAAGAGAAATTAATATGGATTACAAGTATGATTATATTACAAAAGCAGATTATTTTTTATCAATATTATTATTGATTAATATTTTTTGTTAATTCTTATTGATCATCAGAATTAATTATAGAAATTATATAAGAAATTCTATTTTCATTGAAAATAAAAGTTGATATTGATGTTACATATCTGCCTTCTCAAATTTATCCATCTGCATGAGGAAGACACTAGATGGTCTAAATTCATTGTTTAATATTTGAAATTGACGTATTATCTTATTATTATTAATCATGTTTAGTTTATGCTATATAGATTATGTGAGTGAGTAAATAATGAATGAAACAGCACACAATGCTGTGAAAACAGGTATACTTGCAGCTGCAGGCCACAGGCATACCAAATATTACATTATATTGCACAGTCTTCTACCTAACAATAAAGACCCCATTGATAGGAACACTGCCCTGGGTATTTATGAAATACTTTTCACTTTGGACTATGAGAGTCATATAGGAACACTGCCCTGGGTATTTATGAAATACTTTTCACTTTGGACTATGAGAGTCATGTCAGCAGATACATAGATTATATTTCATCTCTTTCTTTTATGTTTTGAACAAGATACAGAATAATTTTGA